GTTTTGGTCTGCAGAAAAGAGGGGCAGGCTTCACTGGTCATCATTCATTCCACCTTCAAATCATACTCTGCATTTCACAGTATCAGCAATCCTGGGTGCATTTGTTGCCAAGGTCAGTTTGTTTCCCTTTAGGTCAGCCACGATATAGTTCTCAGAACTCCAACAAGTTGATGCTATGTTTTACCAAGGTAAAATTTGAAGAATATGCCAGGAAGCATGGACAGAGCCATAGCACTGTTCTGGGGGTACATTTTGCACCTGAACCATTCCCTATCGCAAGAAATTTCCTTGTTACCAATTGACTTTTCACCTCAGGTCATTAAGTTCTACTCATCCATGTCCTACTCACACAACCTGTCAGATAGTCCTGATTCTGCTGTCTCCTGATTTGGGGGGGCTTAAGGAGTAACATCCCTCTGGTGTCAGAATTCATTGCTGCTACATCTGCTGCTGATAACTCAAGGCAGAACACTTCTTACAGTACCTCTCAAGCATCCACCCTCCCCACAGGCCAGACTTAAGGTGTACCATCACTCTGTGCCAAATTATCATGACATACTACACTGTTTCACACATTAGAACTTCATGTTTTGCTGTTTTTTCATAATTAGAGGAACACTCCCAGTGTGATGCTCCATGGGCCACAGTAGTGCTTTGATGCTTTGGTGTTTCTTTCAATTATGGTAAAACACAAATATAAAGTTCTGCATGTTTTCTGTCTAAGGGAACATTAAGTGCTTCACCCACACCTCCAGTGCAGATCATTTAATCTAAGGCAGAATCTCAAATTCAAGCATTAGAAGACCTGACCAAGTATTTTGGTTCTATATGATCTCCATGCAGTACCTGAAATCCAGCTTCACTCTGCTATTGCCAAAAGCATCTCTACCTTTTTTCACACAGGAAAACTTCCACTTACAAAACTGTATGTTAGTTTATCTACCAAAACTAGAACCCACATATTTAATGATAATAAATGGTTTGACATCAATACTGAACCATTTTACGTGGTTTCTTTTTGCTTCAACTAAAAAAAAACCACATTTGTCACCAACACCATAACCTGGACCCACATCAACAAGATGCTCCGTGTAGATGTCCTGGCACCCTCCGAATCAGAAGATGCAAGCTGTGGCCACGCCACTCTGACTGCAGCTGGATTTCTGAAGTATGATACTTGCTCTGCTAAATGACAGAGGTAAAAAAGCCATGGGGAAGCCCAGATAATTGCTAGGCTTGACAGAAAAAGCAGCTTAGGCAACTTTGCAAGTGTGAGACCAGTTCTGCTCCCAATTATACTTGTGATTTCCTACATGTGTCTGTGCTTTCACATGGCTTCCTCTAAAGAAAGATTTGGCCCAGAGCACGTGCCCTACTTTCCCGTGTCCCTGCCAAGGCCATATCTGTCCTGTGTTCATGCTTCTTTTTGCAGTGTTTAGGCAGCTGGGTCCAAGGGGAGAGAAGTAAGGGTTCACCGCACCCATTTGTTATTCAAAGGAACATTGACCTCCCAGTCAGATAAATGATTGAAATGGTTTTGTCCTAGTAACCTGAAAAATTGTTTGACAAAAGTAAAAAGCAAAACCTTATATTTTGTGGGAACTATTTTAAACCAGTGACTTTTGCTTTTCCCTGCTCTCAACTCATTACCTTGAAATCATTCTCTGTCTAAGAGGGTTGTCTTCCTAAATCAGTGAGACCAAACCAGAGAGTTTCACCAACCTTCATTGTCCAGAGGCATCAGCCATTTCCACCACTGTGTCTTGAAAACATCTGTTAAGAAATAAACTTGGGGAGGTAAGAATCAATCATACTGCCCAGGAGGGCTATGAAGCTCTACTGTCTGCATTCATGCAGCCACATCTTCGGCTACTCTGCAGTAAAGACTTGTGTGGGCACTCTAGTGCATGCTAAGAATGCCTTATTGGGAGATCTCGGACATCATCTCTATCCAGGCTAAAGGAACAATAATGGAGAGCATTAGCAGAGATCTAGCTAGTCTGCATAAACACACCAAAACAAAGTAGCCCGCTATACTGTGAGATAGCGGTGGGTATCTTGCAAAAACACAGTCACTCAGTTCACGTGTGAAGTGTCCATGTAGAGAAGTAGTGCAGAGTGCCAGCTGGCTGTGCATGGATTTCCCCCGTCCCCCTTAGAGAACTGGCCAAGATCACTGTTCTCTCCTCAGATGACAGTGTATGGGGATGATAGTCAAATCTAGTGTGCTTTCTACTTCCCAGCACATATGCTTCCTTTCAAAAACTAGCAGGATGCAAAGAGATACAGTCCTTAG